AGGGGTAAAGCATACTGCAATCGGCTTTGATAGAGTGCGAATCACAAGAGAAGAGAGCTTCAAAGTGAGAGACATCTTGACAGCTCTCAATACAATTCAGGGGTCGTATTATTGAGGTAGACGTCCAGGCTACTGCTGCTGTTGATGATGATGACTGATAGCCAGAACCAACATGTCCGCCCGCGCTATGCCCGTATCGGGAATAGTCTCTGACTTTCTGCGTCATTTGCAACTGCATTACGGATGATATACATGCTTAGGTCAGCAATGCACGTTGTTGCGGCAGTCGGATGAATGTTTATCGATTACCCGATTAAGCAATCCGTTTTGATTGTCTTTTCCTCCACCATCACAGTTGGCAGCCTCAATAGCATCATCACCACTCCCTGCTTCCCCTCCCCCGCCTTTCATCAGCGCTGTCAGTTTGATTGTTGTGGCGTTACATGCATATCATTGTTTCAGAGAGTTATTGTTGATCCTATTTTTCTACTTGCACTTGTTATCTTGGTAAGACGGCGCTCACCCCAGAATCCGACTTCTTTGTTTCCACGACGGAACACCGAGATCTTGGATGACCCGGTTCCAGAAATGCCGTCCAATCGACGTACTGACAGATTTGGACCATAGATACCAAAAGCAGCGCATCTATTATACCCCTTTTTGGCCCGTCTTGCGTTGATTGTCTATATTGTAGCGATACTTTTATGACCTCGACAAATACCTCGTTGCACTTGCCTGGTCACGCGATTGATCTCCAATGCGAAAATTGATGCCCACGCACTGCAAGGAATCTGACCGAAGGACTAGAATTGAAGATGGAAGCATTGTCACCGCGATCGACGAATCACTTGATCAGACCTAAAGTCAGCATGGAGAGAAAAGTTCTGGACAAGAACGCCGCTGCGGCGGCAGCGGCGCAAAAAGCCGCTTCGTCGAAAATCCATGCGCCTCCACCACCGTCGCTGGTGGTAGAGCCCGCGGAAGGGGGTGAGCGCTATTCTACTGGCGCTTTTCTTGGGAAAGGTGGCTTCGCAATCTGCTACGAAGGTACACTATTGCGGAATGGAAGGGTCTTTGCAATGAAGGTGGTGAGGTCTGAGATGGCGCAGAAAAAGATGCAGGAGAAGGTATGTCTCGAGCCGCATCCGCCGTCATTGGGCAAAGGTTTTTTTTTTCAATCCTTTTCTAATCAGAACCTTCTGTAGTTTCGAACCGAACTTCAAATACATTCGAAAATGCGGCATCCGCACATCGTCGAATTTCATCGCGCCTTTGCGTTTGACAAGTGTATCTACGTGGTCCTGGAGCTGTGTCCAAACGGCTCAGTAATGGACATGGTGAGGAAAAGGAAATGCCTGAGCTTGCCCGAAGTGCGGCGATTCATGATACAGCTTTGCGGTGCGGTCAAGTACCTACACAAGAGGAGTGTTGCGCATCGTGATCTGAAAATGGGAAATTTGTTTTTGGATCGAAATATGGACATCAAAGTGGGAGATTTTGGGCTGGCAGCGATGATAATTTCTGAAAAGGATGAGAAACGGAGGAAAACGCTGTGTGGGACACCGAACTATATTGCTCCAGAGGTCCTCGATAAGAGTAAGGGTGGACATACCCAGAAGGTTGATATTTGGTCGTTGGGCATAATATGGTAAGCATGCAGTCATGACACGGATAGGGCTCCCCACTAACAGATATTTTCGAAGCTTTGCCATGCTTACCGGTTATCCACCTTTTCAGTCTAAAACACAGGAGGAAATATACAAGAAAGTCAGGAATTTGAGTTATGTTTGGCCCAGTGGCACTCAGTGCGCGAATCACATCCCTGACGAGGCCAAATCTTTGGTCAGCTCTTGTCTCAATCTCTCAGAGAATGAGCGGCCTGACCCAGACGACATTGTGGAACATCCATTTTTCAATATGTACGATGGATGTATTCCTCGACGACTGGACCCAACTTGCACGGTTTCGACGCCGATCTGGCTCAGGTCGGATGAGCCTCGTGGTGATCGCATGATGCTCGGTCATAGCCTGGAGTACGACGAGAAGCTGTCAGGCTACATAGAGCATGTTGATGACCCGACACAGCGATACCTCATCTGCCGGGCGGCATTCTACAGTCTCTGTGGAGTTGGACGTAAACCAGATGGGTCAGCTCGCAAGTCTGTTGGCAAAAACTGTTCGAAATCTGCGTTTGCGGAGTGTCTATCTGAGGAGGAAAAGGGATTGCAGCCGATTATGCCGCTGCCCGAAGACATGGTCTACAGCTACCCTAGTGACCCCGACGGGGACTGGAGCACGCCCAGTCCTGGCCTTGCACTTGGCAAGGATGACTCGTCATTGGACAGTACGAGGTCCTCTGGTAAGCGTACCGTATCTATGCGCAGTAATGCTGCCTCTCTTTCCAGAACACAAGCCGCTCTTGCTGCAGCTCAGCAACGACGGCAGGAACCACAGAGTCATGCTGCAACGCTTCGCCAACAGGCAATGGGTGCTCGAAGCTCGGTCAGGAAGATTGCAGCTATTTGTGATCCACCAGCAGTAGTAGAACCCGAGTCTGCTGCTCCCATCGTGCCGACCGGCGGACTCGCGGAAAGACCCATACGCGCGCGACGCGGAATGGCAGTCTCGTACTCAGCTTCGATGCGCGACTTGGACAGAAAACTCGTGCCGTCCACCAGTGACCCTGGGATGCTGACAGTGGGTAAAACACGGTCGCAGTCTCGACGACTGGGAGCGGCAAGTAACGACGCACTTCCTGCTCCCGCCGTCATCAAAGAGCGATCTGTCTCCTCAGCGTTGGACAACCTACCTACGAGGTTACGCCAAAGCTCCACACGCTCAGTGGCAAGGGAAGAAGCTCTCCAGTCTTCCCAGCGGAAGGAGCTAGATGAAGAAGTCAAGGCGAAGGAAGTGCCAAGCGGAGATGGTCGTCTGCGAACAGAAGTCGCCGTAAGCCGTTCCAGTAGCAAGACAGCCTCCACGTCAAGCAGTAAGCGCTCGACATTAGGACTGTATCCGCTTCTTCATCCGGACGATCCCTGCGAGATGATGCCAAGGACATCTCTCGAGGACGTCAACACCGACCTCCGACTGATGCTTTCTAACCTGGTGCCTCCAACATCTGGTCGCCGGCGCGTAAGCTCGAGAAGGACACCGCATGCATACGTCATCAAATGGGTAGACTACACTAATCGTTATGGCATTGGATATGTCCTAGATGACGGTAGTGTGGGATGCGTGTTCAAAGCGGAGAATGGCCAGCCGGCCAGCGGAGTTCTGCTACGGAATGGTGAGAGGCATATCCGCCGGAAAGCCCGTAGCCTAAGCAAGCAAAAGGATGGAGCCTCTACCTACTCCGAGGTTGATCAACTCGTGCCTCGTAACGGCAGGCCGGTGGAATTCTATGAGAACTGCGAAAACACCTCGTCACATGGTCTAACAGGTGTCCGACGTGCCCTCATTCCCCCTTCTGTTTTCGAGGTGAAGCCCTCTTCCGATGGCTCCTCTGGTGCTGGAATCAAAGTTCGCACAAACTCCGGTCTTGAACGCGCGCGTGCCGATGCAGAGAAGATCAAACGCGTGAAGCTGGTTGATCAATTCGGCAAGTATATGATTGGATCCTTGGGCAGGCATGACGACGATGACGTTTCGGAAGACGATAAAACAGACAACCTTGGCCAGTTTATCAAGTTCTACCAGAGATTGGGCAATGTCGGTGTCTGGGGGTTTGGCGACGGCGCTTTCCAGGTTTGTTAGCCCACCTTTGCAACTTGATGCACGATCTAATCATGCTCTGTAATAGTTCAATTTTCCCGACCACACAAAGCTCGTCATATCCCCTGGTCGTACAAGAGCCTCATCACCCTGGGTTGACTTCTATCATCTCTCCCCTTCTGCGGCCCGGTATCTGAGCGCCAAAGGAAAGATGCACCCGTCCGGATTTGATACTCGAGCCGTCGTTTCAGACGAGGCCAACGCATTCCTGAGCATTGCACATGGCAGCACGATGAGCGCAGTCGACGAGCGCATTCGCGATGTTCTAGAAGCCAACTTTTTCCTTGAGAAGATCAGTTTTATCAGGGAAGTCATGAAGAGCTGGGTTAAGCATGGGCGCTTGGGAGGTGGTCCCTCGCAAGATCAGACTTCCACTGACCCTCTCCAGATGCTTTGGGAGGGCACACAGGAGCGGGCGCAAGTTGGAGGAGGCAAGTTTGTTTGGGTGACCGTTGGGGCTCCTGGAGGGGATGGCGAGTATCGATCCATTTCTCTGAAGGAGAAAGAATCAGAAGGAAGAGAGAATGATCCGGAAATGGAGTCTTTACGAGAGCGGTTGCGGGCATTAGCTACCAAGCCGTAGATCGGCAGCCTTTCCGGCTACAACTTACGATGTCACGACTTTGCGACTTGTGTTTTCCATTGGCTCAGAATTCAAGCACGAGCGATCACCGATATTTCTTTTGTGATATCCAACAATAGCACTGAGTGGTTTGCATAAAGTTTTATAGCTTCATTCTGTCAATTAGCACTGATCACAATCTGCTGCTGCTCTTTCTTGAGAAACAATGACTCCAATATACTGATACCCCTGTCATCGAGGAAGTGGCCTCTTGCATCGCCTATCTGTTATCTCATCTCATAGATAAACTCCTTTTCCTGTCTGGTTCTAACAGCACGCCGTTATCGTGCTTGTATGACATCAAAACAGTGCTCGTCTGAGCCCAGCTGCCAGGAGCTGAACGATCCTGCTTGGACACTGGAGTCGCATTTGACCTCCACCGCCATAGACTAGTGGAAAAAATCTCGGAGTATCTCCAGGAACCTCTTTGGATGATTCCATTCGCTACACTTCGTCCAACTATGTCATGTAATACAGGTGTCCCTCGTGCGGGGTTAGATAGCCCCTCTGTCCTCGAGCCGATGGCATTCAAAGTCTAGCATTTTATCGATTTGCCGAATCTTCTGAGTTTACTGAGATCTTTTTCCGACCTACCGTTTGCAAGATGGGCTCCGTTTCCTTGTCTGAGATGCAGAATCCCTCATGTCTCCTGTGCGGCCCGTTTGACGCGAGATTCGAAGATAGACCCCTTCCAGAGATCGAGGATCCATCCGACGTGATCATTCGCATCGCATACACAGGCGTCTGTGGAAGCGACGTGTGTCACATATCTCCCTCTCCCTGACCATAACAAACCTAAATCTAACCACAAACGCAAGGTCCATTTCTGGCTCCATGGCGGAGTCAAACGCCTTGTATCCCCCGAGCAACCGATCGTCATGGGCCACGAAGCGTCTGGCATCGTCCACGCCGTTGGATCATCGGTTTCCACTCTCCAGCCTGGAGATCATGTCGCCATTGAACCGGGTTACCCGTGCCACCGGTGTCCCTGCTGCAAGAGCGGCCGGTACAACCTCTGCCCGCGGATGAAGTTCGCTGCGGCCCCGCCTAGCTGCCACGGCACGTTGACCAAGTACTTCCGTCTGCCTGCGGACTACTGCTATAAGATTCCCCCAGGGACGTTAGGGCTAGACGAGGCGGTGCTGATGGAACCGCTGGCGGTTGCGGTGCACTCGGTGCGACAGGTGGGTGTGCGGCCTGGGCATCGGGTGGTGGTGTTTGGAGCGGGAACGGTGGGCTTGCTCTGTGCGGCAGTGGCGAGGGAGTTTGGGGCCAGGACGGTCGTTATCGTTGACGTTAACCAAGCGAAGCTGCAATTTGCGCGGTCGTTCCTCGCGAGCGAGGAGATGGTCTTAGGGACGTTTGTGCCGGATGCTTCCAGGTCTTCGGAGGAGAATGCCGCCGCTTTGCTGGAGGAGTATGACCGAGTGGAGCACCGGAGCGACGAGATACCCGGTTTTGATGTCGTCATTGAGGCTACGGGTGCGGAGCCTTGCATTCAGATGGGGATTGAGGTGCTTCGGGTTGGGGGGGCGTTTATCCAGACGGGGCTTGGGAAGCGGAATGTGAGCTTTCCCATTTGCACGGTTGCAGAGAGGGAGATTGTGGTGAAGGGATGCTTTCGTTATGGACCTGGGGATTTTCTGATGGGCCTGCAGTTTGCGGTTGAGGGGAGGATTCCTGTCAGGCAGTTCATTACCAAGGTGTTCCCTTTTGAGAGTGCGACGGAGGCTTGGGAGACGACGAGGCGAGGAGAGGGCATCAAGACCTTGATTGAGGGTGTCCAGTGAGGTATGGAGGATAACTGACGAGTGTCAGGAGTTACCAGATCCTCATTTTTCATATCTTCATCCTCGCCTGATATTCAGAGTCTTGTTATCCTCAGGGTGTCGCTATATCACTATCCTAGATATCAGTTTCACATTCTGGCTACCAGGAGCAATAGCAGGTGGGCTCTGTATCGTCTCTAACGAGCCTGCGTCGTTTCCGGGGCCTTTCTACGTGGTGCTTGTCTTGATCTCCTCCGCTGACATCCTACCAGGCCATCATCGTGATCGTTTCCTTTGACTTAGATTTTTGAACAGAATGCTTGACCTTCATATCTAATGCTATATACTTATCCATCCCGCTCTAGACACGCAAATGCAAATAGTATCCGTAAACCTAACGCATGAATCAAACATCCCTCCCAGCCCGAAGCATATACCCCTGCACATACCCACCCGCAACCTCCCTCTCCTCCACCAGCCGAAACCTATACTTCTCATACAGCGGCCTTCCTGACGGCGACGCCGACAGATACGTCTCCAATCCAACCTCATCAGCCCGCTCCAATCCCCACCGGAGCAGTCTGGACGCAAGGCCCCGCCCATGATACGCTGGACTGGTCCCCAACATCTCCAGATCTAGACAAGTCAGCCCATGCCTCCACCGTTCCAAACACAGTTAGCTCAAAGGGAAAGCAAAGGGGAAATACAGTAATGAGGCCGACGACCCATAATCCTCCCCCTCATCTCCTTCATCCCGGTGAAGAATACCCTGCAGAGCTCGCTGTCGGAACTGGCGGGGTAGTGATGCTCATCGCCTGAATGCGAATGTTTCTCGAGGCTATCCTCTGGGGGGGATTGTGCAGGGAGCTGCCACACCGCGAACGCGACGATGGCACCATCCGCTGAGTCGATTATTTTGAGGACGGTCTTGTGTGGATTGTTGATGAAGGAGGTGAATTGTGTGGTCCAGTAGGCGGTTACGTCTGGGGTGTGTGGAAACAGGCGCTGGTTGAAGGGGTTGCTGAAAGCGGAGAGGAAGACGGTGGTTAGGGCGGGGGAGTCTGTGGGATTTGCGGGGAGGAGTTCGAAGGACATCTTGTTTTTCTTCTGCTGTATACCTATTTCTATATTTAAGTTGGGTTGCGGGTCTACGGTTTTGATAAGATGGAAAATGTGGTGAGTCTGAGATGAGATATGATTACGCCAAGACTTTGCAGCTGTGGCCTTGTGGGACGAGTGGAGCATACTGCAGCCCAATATTGCATCATCCAGACTGATTCAGGAGTATATGTTTGTTGTGGTGATCATGCCAGGTTCATTAGGATTAGACTATTAGCTAGGTTCATACACGTAGGGTTTCACGTCAGACGAATTAAGCATCAAGCCCGCACATAGTGCGGGTTCTTCTCCAATACCGCCTCAGGAACAGACACCGGGCTGCCTGCATCAGGCCTTCCAGGCTGCTGTGGTTCAGGTGCCCGCGCCTGCGGCAGAAACGACCGACGAACCTGCCCCGGTCCAGCTATCGAGCGATTCTCCCCGCTCTTGGTCGCCTCGATCTCCCGCTTGACACCCTCATACATGCTCTCGATGAAAAGAATCTCCTCCTGAACATCCAGCTGGCAACCGTCGAGGCAGAACTCGCGCTCGCGCTGCTCGATATACTCTCGAATATTCCGCCATTCGTTCTGGTAGTGCTTCAAACGATCGGGCAGCCCAGACCCCTTGAGATAGGTCAGGATACCCGCCATGATAGTGTTGATGGCGCCAAACGCCGTGACGGCATTGTGGGGCCCGCGCGCAGCGCCGAGGGCTGTCAGCGAGGCGGCGACAATGATCTGGATGCCCAGACAGGTGTTCATGAGGATGCTGAAAAACTGGTGGCGCTGTGCGGCGGCTTGCTCGGCGCGCACGACGCGCGTGTAGATGCCAATGTTGGGTGCGCTACGCGGGTGATGGTGCGGGATTGCTAGGGCCGGGACGATGTCGATGCCGGTGAGAGCCCGGAAAACGAGCAGTTTGTCTGACGGGGGGATCAGGGTGCTGGCGTGGGTTGTGGCTACCGTCAGGCGGCGGGTGAGTTGAGGATTATTTGCGGACCCCATGGATAGACCCTCGTTTTCTGGGTCGTGGAGTCCCTGCATTGTAGGGTAACGAGGGTAGCCCTGTTCCTCGCGATTAACCGGGTCGATGATTGCTGTCAGGACGCGCCTGAGAAGTGGCGGTCTGGGTCGTTCGGCCATAGTTGTTTGCAGCTTGTCTTTGGCTCTGCTTTAGAACGGGTGAGGAGACAAGCCGTACAAAGTCCATGCAAGTTGAGATTGTTGACTGCGGGACAACCCCATCGTACTTAAGGATCTGTCAAGCACCGCGACCTTCCGAAAGTGGACTCCATTCCCTCTCTTTGCTTTTTGGAGTTTTGTTTGTTCGTCCAAGCTTGCCCTTGACTCAGCTAGCCTAGGGTCTGGCGGCTGCAGCCATAGAAATGTGTGCCGAATCATATCGAAGATAGCGCCAGTGAAGTGAAATGAGTTTGGAAAACTTGGCCAATAATCAAGCCATTCATTTCCGCCAATTCCTCATCCGGATGACCGACTGCAGATCAGCATGTTTTGGGCAATGAGTCCGGCCGATCGCTCGGGAGCTCAGGCGTGCCGGAGCGGCCCTCTGAAGAACCAAACCAGACAATCTCAGAGGAACTAAGGTTCTTCGTAGACAGGCCGTGAGACTCCTTACTCGTGCTCCTTGCTCTATGCAATGATTAGCCGGGTCAGGAACTTGACTGTACAATAAGGTATGATCTGCGTGAGTGACCGCAAACAATTTGGAATACTGATGTCGACACAGAAGCGAAGACGCGAACTCTTCGTTTAGTGKGTCTTAGCGATGGACACACGGGAAGTTAAAAGGTGATTGACGAACTGAAGATGAAGGCTGAAGATGTGATGGACATGTTGTTGCAGAAGGTGGCATTTTCCACGGGGTTCATGAGTCAAGTCTACCAGTTAGACTCTATGCAGAGTGTCACCTGTGCGATCGGAAAATCCGCCCGCCAATCTCTGCTGAGATTACTATCAGTACACTGTAGAGCACCTTGTTTCGAGTCGTTCGAGCGATACGACTCTTAGAGTCACTGCTGTCATGACAGTGAACAGGAAGAAAGACTAGAGCGTGGCGGGCTGAAGCAGATGGCTGACGGTCAACGGGTCTTCGTTCTCCAGGTCTTGTTTCACACAAACATGAAACTAATCACTCTGATGAAGATAAGGAGTAGTTGTGAGGCATGACAGATTGGAGAGAGTCTGATCAATGCCCAGATGAACCACTGATCCGCTACATGCACAGTTGGAAGAAAAGTGGACCGATCATCTGCATCTGCTGCATGCACATGACCCCAACCGATCCGTCATTCCCAGCATTTGGGGACTGAGATCAATATGCAGAGGGCGAGACCGCAATACCAGGGATGGAAAATGAATGTCTCAAATCTTCGCTACGGCCGATACTCACACTGTTCGTAGAAAAGATTCTGAATTATATAAACCGATTGGCGGACACCTGTCAGAACACGCCGGATCTTCGACACAATTACCCTCACGCTAAGGAGGATAAGGAGAGACAACAGAGGCAACTGCTGAACTCAGCATCATCTAAATATTCACAGATTCTGCAACTAACAAGCCTATCTGGAGGATATTCAGAAAACTTAGCAATTCGCTATGGCCCCCGGAAATACGAGGATAACCTCGGTTGGCAATGTCCAAACAACCAGGATTAGTAATGCAAGTGTGGGGATTTCTGGATAAGGCCCGATAAGGAAATCTCCTGCAGTGGTCGATGGGGATTCGTCCCCTCCTTCGCGACATTTGCAATTGCTGGCGACAATTGCTCATCTGGAGATTCTGGACTAGGATTCTATTTGATATATGCCAGACGCGGGGGTCAAAAATACTACGTCCGGAATCTCCTTCCATACCTGGTCATTTTTATCCGGTTCACTGTCCCCTCTTCCTAATCTCTTTCGGCGTCCTCGGCTCTGGAGTCCTGACAACACAGCGAGATGGGTGATGCGGCTTTGGTCAAGGAGCAGTTGCTCATAGCCTTCATGCATGACCTACCCGCATCGGTGGTCGAAGATATCCGTGCCAAATTTCCCAACGCCGAGATTACCATCATTCATCTGGAGAGATTGGCTCCGATCCCAAGTGGTTCGTCATGCATCTCCACTAGATTGACAATGAAGACTCTGACTCGTCGCTTAGAATATGCGCGCAAGGCTACCATTATTGTGACTTTTACCAATCTGCCGAATATTGAGGACTCTGCCAAGTAAGTATTCATGAGAGCATTCCTGCCTGGGCGGTCTTACCAATGCGAACTGATCGTGCCAGTATCAAGCTGATTCATACCCTCTCGGCCGGAGTCGACCATCTCTTGACCCATCCTATTCTCAAAGACAGCAAAATACCCATCAGCACCAGCTCGGGAATTCATGGACCTCCTATTGCCGAATGGACTGTGATGAACTGGCTCGCCGCGTCGAAAGAGTTTGTTCGGACGTATGAGAATCAAAAGCAGCATGTCTGGGGAGATGTGGATGAGTACATGCAAGGGCTGCATGACCAGGTTGGGAAGAAGGTGGGCATTTTGGGATATGGGAGTATTGGACGACAGAGTATGTTATTGACCACTTCAATAAAACTTCTGCTGACAATGACCCAGTCGGCCGTGTCGCTGTCGCTCTAGGAATGACCGTCCACGCGTATACCGCTTCTCCTCGCCTGACTTCCGAATCCCGTCGTGATACTGGATACATTATCCCCGGCACCGGCGACAAGGACGGCTCAATACCGGCATCGTGGCACCATGGCACAGACAAGGCGTCAATTCATTCATTCCTGAAGCTCGGATTGGACCATCTGGTAGTCTGCGTGCCATTAACGGCCCAGACACATCATCTCCTCGGAGCCGAAGAATTCGCCGTCTTATCCTCACACATACCCGCCGGCCACCCTAAGCCATATCTGACCAACATTGCACGCGGCAAGGTCGTCGACCAGGAGGCACTGATCGCCTCTCTCCGGTCAGGCGAGTTGAGTGGGGCAGCGCTGGACGTCACCGATCCGGAACCACTCCCTGCGGATCATCCGCTATGGGATGTGCCAAATGTGCGGATCAGTCCTCATATTAGTGCCCTGGGCAAGGAATATTTCCCCCGGTCTTTCGATATTGCCAAGGAGAATATATGGCGACTGGAGAGGGGAGAACCCCTGGTCAATGAGTACAAACGCACCAGGGGGTATTAATTGGGATATCTTGACTGGAAGAACTTTTGTTTTTCTTTTCCATTGAAGCGCGTATTTCAAGCATTAGAAATGATCTCAGCCCCGGCCTTATTTAGATACTTCCTACTTGGGATACCGTACACAGTTTGACAGGCGGACATACCCCCGCATAGACCAATCAAAGGTGGTTACCCCACATGCCGCGGTGACAACCTTATCGCCGGCGCTTATCACTTGGCTGAAAGCCTGGAACCTCAGGAATCCAGGATCGGCTCATCATTCCATCGATCTTTCGAATTCCGGGTTCCAACACTCACAACTGGGATAAGTCTTCCACTTAGTCCTGTATGTGACAGTCAATGTCTCCGTTCCCCTTTCTCTCCCTCCCTCCCGAAGTCCGCCTCCAAATCTACCGCTACTTGATCCCCAACATCCCCATTCGCAACTTCTCCCTGATCCGCAACAAAAAGCCGCCCCTCAGACGAGACGGGAAACCATGCTGCCCCGCCCTCCTCCGCACCAACCATGCAATCCACACCGAAGCCATCCGCGAATGGTACGGCACAGCGGCCTACGAAGTCATCGTTGACGCAAAATACATCCTCTTCTGCGGCAAAATCCTAGCCCCCTATGTCCCTCTCCCGTCTACGATCCGTTACGTCACAACCATGCACCTCTGCATCGCACTGCAGCGCACCCCCTTACATCTCCTCCGTCCCGAGGCCATGGCACCACTCGAACACCTCCTTGGGTTCCAGGATAGACTTGTGACGCTGGCCAAGGAGATCGGGGATCCGGCTGGGCGCAGGCTTAGGACGCTGTTGATAGAGATTGAGGTTGATGTGCCGCTGCTGTTGAGCTTGAGCAAGACGCCGGCGGAGCTACTGGAATTGCTCCGATGGAATTTGGATCCGGTCAGGCAGAACGTACGAGGGGTGGAGGTTGTTAAGTGGGAGGTCAAAGAGCAAAGCTATGGGATCCAGAGTCGGGAGTTTCTGGCCGCGTACGAGGAGTTAAGGACGGTCATGCATCGGTTTCTGGAGAATATGAGGGAGGAGATGGTATCGGTTGAGGATGACTTGGTTTGACGTTCATGTATGCATTTACGACCATGCACTTATGATAATAATGTAATTAGGGAGTTGTCTGCTGACGATGGTATCTGGGGACCGTCCCAAATAGGGAAAAAGCACGGCYAAGCAATTCAGCGCGACAACTGACTGTGCCTTGGTGTCAGCGTCGTCATAGCCTTGTCTGCGTCAAGTCAATAAATTGCAAAAGACACCATTTACGCAAGACTTGTTTATTCTTCTCCTCTTCACTCTACGGGAGCTATTTGACTCGCCGAGATGAAAAACCAATTGCTTCGTCCCGAGGCAGACGCTGTCAATACTGGGAATGTCATCGCCGCCGACTGGTTTGTGACTTCTCACTCCCCGGGTGCCGCAAATGTTACACTGGTAGTGTCCTGGCTACGACGACAAGAAACCGCTCAGGTGGGTTACAGCGGGTGAGGTGGCATCTCGGCCGCGGAAGAAGACTGTTCAGCAGACAAGTAGCAAGCAAAATGTGTCCGAAGACAGGAGCGACAGCCAAGTGGAGGCTTGGAGTTTGAGCGTCCCTCGCGATCGACTGGTCACCGAGTTCGGAGCGTTCGCTGAGGCTGCATATTATTGTGAGTTCGCTTGTCAATTTGAATAAGCAATGTTCTAATAAATAGACAATACCTGCGTTCTACTGGAGTATTCTGGCCTGCTCTAGCTAGCCGTAAACCCGTTAATTACTGCCTTTCCCATGGAGAGACTTCAAGCCATCCCTGCACCGATCTACTGCACGATTGACACTTATTGAGCCAGCGATTTCACCGACAACTCCCCCAGAAAAGCCGTAACGATTTGCGAGAGATTGAAGTTAAGCATTACCAGCAACGAGGGCACGCTATCCGGTATCTCAAGGAG